TACGTAAATATTTTAACATACTTCACGCATTACCCTAACCTCACCTAACACAATCTCTATGTACCTATACGCAACACGTTGTTATCGTTAAATTATGTATGACCGATAGCACACGACACGGCATTAAAACAACGTTTCGACATGAAGTAGTGTATAGTCGCAGTAAACTAATCAAAATGTTTGACGAATTCAAACGTGGACGCGCGAAGAAACAAAAGATCGTTGCGAGCTACATAGTGGATTGTTATCGAAGTATAGGTGAACCCGAACGTCGTTACGATATCTTTGATCGAACGTACATCTATTTAGATTTGTTGAACATTTTCTATGCATAATACAACCAGCGTGTTATTATCGTGTGTGCATTGGCATGAATATTTTCGGGATTCGTACGACATCGGATTTCTTGTTATCGCGAAATAAAAATCAGTATGTGATTTCAGATCCATTCACAGTTAAAAATTATTTATTCATAAGTTTTCGTATGGCATTTGTTAGTGCGTAATTTTTATGTAAATTCGTACCACGGTTTCCAACATTAACGTATGGTGATTTAGTCCCGCGGCTATTAGGATTTCTGAAGAATAAAACGCCACCACCTCAGTCACACCTCGATTGCGAATGTATTCCAGTCGTATTTCAATTGGTACAAAATGATTGTTCCGCATACGATTTTCCACAGCCCGCAATTTCCCCCCGTTTACACAGATAACAGTTAAAGTATTGACGATATCCACTGATATAGAGTGTTATACTATCAAATACTTTGATCATGTAGTATTTTTTTTCGTCCACCATTAAGATTTAAGATTTTTTTTGTTTAGTAAATTTTTCGTTTAAATTATTATTAGGACTGTAACATATTGTTTGTGCCAAGAGCGCGCCCCCGAACACCTTTTACTTTCACATGCTACGCTGTACACATTTTTTATTTATTTATTTAATTTTGGTTTCATACAATGAAATACTGGGCCCCACTGAGAAGACTCGTGTAAGGGCCCAACACATACGTTGAATTGGTAGGCCACGCGGTGTGTAAAGGGTGTAGTACTCAACAAGGATTGGACCAAGGTTCACCGAGCAAGTTCTGTGAGTGCTACTGTGCGGTGGTGTGTGTATACGTGTATTTAAAACTAAAGAGTGGTAACTAATATAATGTAAAAAATGGTGAATCAATTGGTATAATTGGAAATATGAGTTATATGCCCTTTTGGCTCACCAGCAATATAAATAATAATAAATAAATAAAACTGACACGTGGTCGGTGCGCAACTACCTAACTTGAATAATTAACATATTATTAAAAAAAAAAAAATCAAATGGCCACCGTGTGTGTATTAACGTGTGTGATTAACGAAATATAATGTATAATTATATATAGCTATTCGTGGCCACTACTTATAACAATTATATCTAATATATATAAAAAACAATATTAAAAAATTCGGTGCACACGTCATTAGGCGCGTACACACGAGCAAACAAAAGTGACGAATGCTCACGTATGTTCGCATGCGACCCGTCGTGCGAGCGTGTAGACGTGTGCGTGAGCATTCGGATCCATTCGTCAACGTTCGCCGAATAAGTCGCATGGCAAGCCGATCACTGTCGGTATTTTAACTTTGCTCAAAGAAACACCGCGAGCATTCGAGCTATCGTGTGGACTGTTATTTTGGTTTTCTATTGGGCACCGTATGCCAGTGAGAATAAATATTTATTGTTTCATACAAATAAAACTATAAGACCATTTTAGTTAGTTAAGTACATTTTTCTTTTAAAAAAATGGACTGGGATAGCAAATCGCGTTTTGAATAAATCGAAGAATATCAGAATACTCAGAAGGCATACGAGTGAAATTTTGAAAATGCAAAATATTTTCATCAAACTGCACATCAATCAACAAATATAATCCTCTATCTATTCTTGTACATTTTCGAAATCCACCAGCGACGATCACGTCGAATATTTTTATTTTATTTTTTTAATCAACCCATGCATTATCATAAAAGCTGCAGCACACACTTGAAGCTGGTCACTCATTATTTATCACAACTTTAAACTATTGTTAAATTAAATCAATTAAAGACACTTAACATAGGCATGTACTTCACTCGATATAAATTTAAAAAAATTATCGGCTACTGAAAAACAACTCATGGCAGGAAAGCTGGTACAGGAGCGAATGGGTGAATATTGTTCGACGCATGGTATGCGTCGCATATTTTGTACACGCGAACAAAATTCATACGAATGTTCACGCATGCTCACATGCTCGCGATGTGCGACGCACAAAAATGCCTCGTGTGTACACACTACGTATACGATGCAACACAGACGATCGACATAGTACGACTGACGGACTATATCCGCGTATGGCGATTGAACGTGAACAGCGACACGGAAAATACAAAGACAGATTATAATAAACGGCATGTTTTAAATGATCAACGTATAATTCACGAAAGACATTAAACGCTAACTTATATCCAGTGGTGATAATGTTATGTGATGCATGTGTGACCGAGATTACGTGGGCGCCTCTGTATCGGCAGCGACACGTATAAAACATGAAATTCTATTTTTTCAAATGCATCATCTCATTGACTGAATGTATCGATAAAAAAGTGTATTAAAAATTATATTTCAAACTATTAGTGCCCGTCACTGAGTGGAGTCAGAGGGAAAACAACAGTCGTAAAATTATTTTACAAAAACCAATGATGCGTGGAATTGTTCTGACGGTAAAAATATAATTAACACTACTCGACCAGTTGGAAATTATTGAACAAGTTCACTAAACACAGGATGATTTCACGGTAGGTAGTTTAAAACATATCTATGCTCGAAAGTGTAGTGCAAATTTGATGCTTAACAACGCCAAATTATTTAAGTTGCATAACTTTATTGATTTATCGCTAGATATATCACAACCAGTCAGTAATTAAGATTTTTTTATTGTTATTTCTTTAGGATACGGTCAATTTTGATTGACAACTAATGTCGGATGATTGTCGGACAAGATCATTCACGTGTTCTTATAGTTATTAATGGTCGACAGTTTATTTATGTTACTGTTGTATTTCAATCATGTTTGAATTTTTGTCGTCAGTCAAACTGGTTAACATTCATTGTCGATCGTATTTGTCTATGAATACATCAGTCGATCGAGTCGTATATTTTTGTGTTCTGTGAAAAGTTATTTCTTTGTCAAAGTAAATAAAAATAACGAATAAGTAATAAAAAGCATCTATATTTGATAGATTTGATCAGATTATTTGAATGCCGAAAAGCGTTATCTCCTACAAAAATAAATGGAACATATTTCTCAATTATTCGTGGTAAGGATTTAGGTTAAGGGATCTTAATTTTTTTTCTCTCCAAAAATTCTATACAAAATAATATATTCGAATAGACTCCCCGGTGCGAAACTCATTCATTGACACTAATATCCACTGTAATAAATGTATGGTTAACGTTACCCACGTTGGCAATGGCCAACAAAACGCTGCCAAATATATGTTTGTAAATGAAATAAATATGAGCCAAATTCTTGAGCTTTTATTATTTCGATTTTCTCGATTATCTCGATGTCCATAAACAATGATGAAAGTTTCATTTTAACTCAACATTTTCAAATATTGTGATTTCCCTTTCTTCTTTCAAAGCAAATAATACAATTAAATGGTATTAATATATAACAGTTTTATTTTTATGGCAATTTATATAGCTAATACGTTTTTTACTTTATTTTATACGCAGAAAGATATTTTTGTAATATTCCTATAATATATAAAAAACATAAAAAATAATAATATAAATTAAAGTGGACAGTTCTGAAAAAATAAAAAGAATGATTTGTTAGAGTCAGCGTACAATCTCCTAGAACAATATACATGTCATAACGATATTTTAACGAATTCTCGGGATATTGAATCAGACCAACAACTGTTTTCTCAAAAGAAAATAAACGATTTCCTTTTTGAAACTCGTTTAACATTAGTGACAATTATTTATTATTTACCCCGATCTATTTTTTAAATGCTATAAATTATTTGTTGGATTTTCCACTCTCATGCGAGTCATTCAATCTTATAGTCACTATCACACAATCACAAAAACGAAACGATCTAGATTTAATTAACATCGGTACGTAAGTAATCATTAACTAAAGTTTTTGACAAACATTTACTCTCCTCGTATTTATTTTTATTAAAAATTAATCAATTTTTAAAGTTTAAATATAAGCGAACTAGATCGCCATCGTATTTCATACCTATTAGATGACGCAAGTACGTATCGAGCAAGTATGTTATGAGGTGGTTTATGTTCAACTTCATTAACTAGTATTAATAAAAGGAATTGTTATTTTTGTTCAAAAAATCGAAAAGTTGACCTAGATTTATGAATCTGTTAACCATTCCTTTGTTATTTACTACCATTCGAAAAACGTTAAATAAGGCTATTGTTTTTTATATTTTCTTTGTAGTCATGTAGGTAGGGATGGCAAAAAATCGTTGATCATCGATACATCGTAATTTCGATACATTGTATACCCAATATCGATACTACGATATATCTAACACTATTTTACCGATATATCGATATATATCGAAAAAAAATTTCTAATACTAAAAAAGGTTTATGGACTTGTTCTTTGGTTATAATTTATTTTAGAAAATGTATAGCCATTTCGCCCATAGCCCATAGACCGAGGCCCTAACTTGTAATTTGTAAATTGTAATCTATACTTACAATAAAATTGATGATAAATAAACTAATTAATCAAAACATATATACTCAACAAAATTATAAAATATTTTATATTATAATATTTATCATACCAGAACAATGTTAATAAATTATAATTGAAATTTTTATATATTACAGTATACGCCTAGAATATTATAATAAAAATAAATGTATTCCTTTAATTTAACAATATATATTTTTTTAAATATTATTTAAAATTAAATACAAAAAATATGAAGCAAAATTAAAACTTATGAAGTATGGAACCAAAGATCATCATCAACTAAATTTAAAAATAGTAATTTACTCAATCTCTTTCCTAAAAGTCTATTCCTTGACTTTGAAAGCGTTAGACTGGCCTTCGAAAATAATCTTTCTGAAGGAACAAATGAATCCATGACAGACAAATATTTCCGAGCAAGTATATATAAATCCGGATATACTGTTTTCATTTCTTCCCAGCATTGGATTGTATCTTCTTTTAGAGATATTAAAGGCTGCGATAGGTAGGCATTTACATTGGTCGTTTTGGCTGAATCTGTTCTTGTTTGTTTCTTCTTATATTTCTTATGTACCAATGTTTTGTGGTGTTCCCATAAATCAAAATTATCAGTTTTCTGTTCTTCGTCCATACTTGAACATTCAGTTGAACTTGTGTCCTGTACTGAATTTTTTGCTAACTTTTTTACCTCTGCTATGGCTTTTTGACAGGCTACAGGATCTCTGAAGTGCAAATTTTTAAACCTAGGGTCTAAAATTGTAGCTATAGGAATCATATATAAAAATTCAATTTTACCAAACCGTTTTTTCAATTCTGCGATAATGTTTCTTTTTAGTTCAATTCCAATATCTAAGTTAGGTTGTATTGACTCTATCTCAATGGTAACACAATTCAAAAGGGGCATAATTTTACTGATAACAACATATTTTTCACCGGATATTTCTAGAGTAACATTCTCAAATGGCCGTAGTAATTTTATCGTTTCACGCAATTGTTGTAGCTCTCTTGCTGTGAGCATTTCAGGACCTAATGGTTTTTGTAGAAGGACATCGGAAACGAGTTTAGACAATACTAAAAATCTATCAATCATATAAAAGGTGCTGTTCCATCTTGTCTTCACATCTAGAATAAGTTTATGGACATTCCCTTCCTTTTTTCCTGAAAAATATATTTAATTTATTATTTAATCAAATTCTATATTTCTACATAAATTATAAATATAATTTTATTTTGTTTTTCATTTAAATTGTACTTTATGTGAAAAAAAAACCATAGATTAATTTTACCTTCATTTATTTGCAATTTTCTCAATTCATCAGAAGCTGAAGTACTTCGTTTAAAGTACTTCACTACTTCTCTAACTTTGTGCAATAATTGTTTGAATTCCTCAGAATTTGAGATTGAATTCTCAACAACAAGATTAATAGTGTGGGCAAAACAAGGAATATGATTATCTCTACCAAACTAGTCATAAATTGCTTTGATCATATTGGCCCCATTATCAGTAACGACAGCTGCAACATTTTTTTTATGAATATTCCACTCAGTCAATGTATTTAGAAGTTGACTTCCTATATAGTCAGCAGTATGAGATTGGGTCAATTCTACTACACCAAGTGTACCTAAAATATAATTTAATTGAATTTAAAGATTTGTAATCCAAATGATTCATTTGTGCCTGCAATTATTATTAAAATTTTTACCTGACAAAAAAGTCGAACCATTCAAGAAGTGAATTGTGATTCCTAAAAAACTTTTCATCGTATAAGTATCGGTCCAAGCATCAGTTGTAACGGATATATTTTCTGCATTTTCAATTTTTTCTTTAAAACGTATTGAAAGATAATCAAATTTATCATCAATATACTTTTTAATTGTATTCCTAGTTGGTATTTTATAAAGTGGGCAAATTCGTGACAGCATATATCGAAACCCTTTACCATCGACTGTACTAAATGGCTGATTATCTTTGCAAATATAATAAACTATAGCTTCAGTACATATAGAGTGTTGTGACCCACCATCTGAAAATTAAAGCTTTAATATAATTGAATAATTAAATATTTAAAAAATAAAATATTTACCTAAAAATGAAGCCACTTTTGTAAAAGCTTGCGATATAGACTGTTGTCGTTTAATTGATTCTAAGGTAGTTGTTTTCGTTCCAGCAGAAGTAGAAGCAGCTTCAAAAGTACTGGCAGTTGCAACACTATGAGATTCAGTTATGGAAACCGCGTCAACCTATTTTCATTGTGTTTTTATATTATAATTATAAATAAAATGGCAAACTTTTATAGCATTTGAATAAATTTGAAAAATTTTTGATGAAAAGAATTTCAAAAATCCTAACTGTTTTAAAAGTTTATAGTACATATTTTTACATACTTAGTGATTAAGTAGTTTTAAGAGTACATTTTTCAATTTTACTATTTTTTAAAGCATTTATATTTCATGATTAATGATATGTTAATAATACAATTTAATAATCGGACAATATTAATAAAATATTATTATTAATTAAATATTAATGATGTTCCAAGACTTAATGATATTTGGGGAATAATTGTATTATTAATAATATATAATTAACAAGTACTTACATTAATTGGGGCGTCTTCATCTTGGGTATTTTCGGAATCTATCAACTTATTGTGCGTTTTCAAATGGCTACGTAAATTGGATGTATTTCCAGATGTTTTAAGCCGTTTTCGGCAAATATTACACATGGACAAGTTGTTATTAATTTTTGTAAAATCTTTCCAAACAGTACTTATTAGCGGCATTTTTAGTTAGTTGTAGTCACGCAAATAAAAAATTATATAAAATAATGCAAAATGTAGGATACTCCAATTGTAAAACACAACTGTACAAGTTAGTACGTATTACGTGTATGATCGTCAACAGTCAAAAACTCAAAAACATTAAACAGAACGGTTTAATAAATTATATAAATCAGAATCAAATTGTACAACAGTCTACGGACGTCGAACAAATGATAATGAATAATTGTCAATGATCAATATGACAGAAGTTAATATACGTTTATGGCTTCATGGGCTCGTGGATTTATGGCCATATCGGCATTCTAATAATAGTTTAATAGTAGATATTCCGTGTAACCGTACTGCCGTACAATATACAATATAATAATTATCTAAATCGACCTTCGATGTTTTCAAGGAGGAGGGTGGTGCAATATATAAACAGTGTTTATTGACACAAGCTATTTATATACAAAATCCCAAATAATTTATAATTATATTTGTTACAATATAAAAATAATATTTATTAGTTTCCCGACGATCAATTGTATTGAAATATCGTAATACTCGATAATATCAAGAGGATATATCGGTAATGTTCTATCGATATAAAATGTCTCGATATATCGACTTCATATATCGATATTTTCGATATATCGATATATCGTTGCCATCCCTACATGTAGACACTGAAATATTATATGATTTATATATATTAGACGGCGCACCACATAGGCAATTCAGGGGCTTTGATGCATTTCTTTTACAATATTTTGCTAAGTTTCCCAAGCCATTATGTATATGTTTATATATATATTTACGAGTACATTGTTATTTGATATTCATTATGCATTTATTATAAACCTTACAAGTTATTTTAAATTACGTACAGATATAATTCCAGCTCAATAGTAAAATGGAAAAATAATAAACAGTAAAAGAGAAAGTGTAGACTTAAAATCGATTTACATTTATTGGATTGTTATTTTTTTGTGATTTAATAGGTACGTTTTTGTTGGCAAAGTAGCTAATTAACTAATAACATGATAATCTATGACGTTCGAATATCTCGAATATCGAAACGCGAATAACGTTCAAAATTATTCAGTACGTCTCTAACGTATACATAATATCATAACGCTCTTTAACCAGTAAATTTGTTGGTGGGATCAGGGAGGAGGAGGTGGATACTAAACGATTACGGTTCCAAATGAATCAGTGAGTATCAGACGCGGATCTAGAAATTAAAAGAAGGAGGGGTTAGTAAAGTGAGTTATTGTCATAATTCGTTGCGCATGTCGATTTGTAGGAAGTCTTTCTTACGTCTATTTTTTTAAAAAATTTAAGTACCTACATCCGATATGGTTCTACCTAATGTTTAAGGAAGGAGGTTAAGCCCCTATAGTCTCCCCCTTGTATCCACGTTTGGTGAGTGTACGTTTCAATATACTATATTTGTGGACCGATTCCTCGGCTACCAAAAGCACAAATGCACAACCGCGTCCAAAGGTCTAAACGGCTGCACATGGTTTCGTTGACGTCTTACCGGTTTACCGCAAACAATTCCTAAGCTAGTTGTTTACTCGACAACGACCAGTGTTCATCCCGGCAGGTCCAAGCCTGTACCGTTTGAGTTGCATTTGACAATGCATCACACAAAATACAACGAAAGTGTTTTAAGATTCGTAGTAAAAAGCGGCAAATCACAATAATATACCTATGATCCGGACGAACCGATATTTAACGATGAAATATGATTAACTTCTTACTACATGTATACTCTGTAATCTCGTTTTGAAACAAAGAAATCCTGATTCAATTTTAATCTGTACGGCGAATAGTTTTTTCGCCCGGCTACGGTCGTATGAGGTTTATGGGACAGAAAGAAGGAAGACATAATATGATACATATTTTATGAGAACAGCCATTCAATGACCATTGAAAAAAATTACACTGATGTAAAAAATAATAAATACGTTGAAATACCTAAGTAGGTAGTTTAAAAATATAAGGGATGAAAGTTTCTTTTTGTATTGAATTTCATGTATAATTTTAAATGAGTTTCTTTATTATCTCATAACCATTTGACGAATTTTAGCGTTGCTCTGTGCCATATTTTTCGCAATAGCATTTTCTAAATTAATTAGTTCATAAAAAATTTAAAAATACATACCTTTTTGTTAGTGTCGTCACTTGAAGGAGGAAGCAACTCATTAATTTGCTACAGTCTAGAGTTAGCTATTTCAAAGTCAGCACATCATCAAAATATAAATCTTTTATAAAGCCATTGACAGGTTGTAAATCAAAAAAATGAGACGTGCACTATACGGGCACTTATGTACTAAATACAAATTATTATATTTTTGGACTGACTCGACGTCATTCTCCCCTCCCCCCACGTCAATCGACATTTTAGTAAAATGAGCCGCCGAATCTGCAATTTAATAAGAGTATGTCGACGTCATTGCTCGTCATTAAATTACAATAATTTGACAAATAATTTATGAGTGCAAAATACGCAAAAATATTAAATATTTTAGTTTTTTTTTTAAATATTGCGAAAATAATAATAAATCATGTCATATATTTTCTAATTCTAATTAAACACCATCAAGTACAGTGTAAATAATTTATATTATCAGAGTCAACAATGTGATTTATTGTAATCTTAACAGGTTTCACAACAGTTTAAGTTTAATAAAACTTTAGAATTGTATATTATTCTCAGTCAGTGGTGAACATGATATAAGTAATATACCGACTAAATAATGTAATAACATCAATCATGGTAAATAATTTTATCTGAAATGTACAATTATTACTCGAAGTCGTGTATTTTATCCTATTGTGTATTTTTTTTTTTTTTTTTTTAATAATAAATGTAGGTATTTTAAAAAACTTTGGAACCCTCTAAAACCAAATCCTAGATTCGCCAATGATTTTGACTGATAAGATGACCGAAGATTGTTAGTTTTCATTGATCGTTTATGGTGATCATAAAATGTATAACAATCATCAGAATGATTGTCTTTAATTGAATAATCGCGTAAGGCCCCGCTTAGTTATGCCCGTTAAATAATAAATCATAAAATAAATAAAATAAAATATTTTTGTCTCGACAATTTTATTATTTTTTGACCACAATTTACCTAAAATTGGTGGCGGTTATTTCTATCAAGCGTTCGAACCGGCTATTATATATGACACAGTTTATTATATAGACAATGTTTCATGTGGTTAATATGGAAAATTCCTATTATTAAATATCTACTTTAAATTATAGAATATTTATTGTTGGTCAACTTTTAAAACTGTATACCTGTACTCAGTTTCTAAAATTCAATATAAATCGTAACCGAAAATTATTTTTCCTCGCTTCAAATATAGCCCTCCACACCCTTAAATTTATTCGGCGTTATAATTCATCGAACATAATTGCATTAATCTATTACCTTCGTTGGGTGGCTAAAGGTAGTGCAGCAACTATTACTCTGAAATTTTAAAATAACTATTGTCCGTGGTTAGAATATGATATTTAGTACGTTTAGAAACAAAAATACAGCCGTTGGAAACGATTTACCGCAGTAACTTATATTTAGAAAAGTTAATTTTTTTCATAGCAGCAGCCGCTTTCTCTCTTTGTATGTGTAAAAATCAACGTCCAACTAAATATCGGCAACACTACATATTGGACTGTCGCTCCTCGTTTATTATTTTATTTTTTATCGACATATATTTCAGTGCAGTGGCGTTCTCGGAAATTTTCAATGAGGGGTTGAGGGATGGATTGTGGATAATTTCTATATAATAATACAATATAATATGCATGGGACTCTCTCAGTACACACTCTCTTTAGTTATGAAATTGAATATAATTTTTAATAATTACAATATATAAAAGAAAAAGAAAATAACAATAGACTTTTTATTTTTTATAATATAAACTCTAATTTTCTTAGCTTTTTACCAGATCATCTACCATTTCCTCAGCTGTTAATGGAACCCCTCCATGAATAGCTAACATTGTAAATCCAATTCAAAATAGTCATTAGTCATTACACAACATTATTTATTATATTTATTAATAAGGACATGCTCCACTAAGAGTTTATAACCACATTGACCAGTAGGTAACCATATAGTAGTTAACAATGAAAAACAACGATTAATCACTTCATTCTAAATATAATCAGTCAATTATTGTTATAATTTATCAATAATATTTTAATATAATAAATATATTTATATAGCAATTTTATGAATATAAATTATACTAAAAGACAGTGAATTAATTCGCATTACTTACAAGCAGGCCCTATTTTTATATGCACCCCGACACATAATGTGCACTACAAATGTACAAGTGTGCACTACGGTCTAAAAAACAAAAATTAAATAATAAGTCAACTACTAGGAAATATGAGTATTATTGAATTTTTCAAAATTTAGTGTATATATATATATATTATGTATGTAATATATTCCTTTTTCTAAGACAGTAGCAAGACTAAATGTTCATTTAAAGCAGTAAAATCAAGTGTGCAATCCGAAATTGTACAAATAATAGGGCCTGCTTACAAGTATAATACGAATTAGTTAAAAAAATACGGCCAATGGGGGGGGGGGGTTAAACCTCCCAACCCCAGTGAGCACGCCCATGTTCCAGTGCGTAGACATGACACCGAACCAATTGTATTTTTTACTGTAAACAAAATACGTCGTCGAATATTATTGTAATATTATTACTACAGTTTAGAATTTCTAACAGGATGATACAAGGTTCGATGCAATATCAGCTGCGGTACGACCATATACGAGTGTATACATTGTGTACGTTGCGTTCGCATGGACTCATCGTGTAAAATAACATGGTGTTATTCAACAACTTTCAAAATGTTTTTCTAGAAAACGTTATCAGATGTTATAGCTACCGACCCGCGATGATCCGAATTAAAAATACGACCTCCATCAAAGTATCAACTAGACAACGTTTCCTATGTTTTACTTTTCGTTTGGTGACGATCGGAACAATCCCTCTGGTCGAAAACGTGTACAAAAGCATAAAATAAAAAAAAAACACACGTCATGATAAAACCAATACGCTCCTTGTTTCGCTCGGAATCGCAGATTCTTCGAAACTATCACTAAACTAGTATTTCGTTTGCAATGTAAATAGAAGCGAACAAGTATTTACAGTGTAAGATACACCTATCGTCGGTCTGGCGGTAAATGTTCGCCGTCAGCACCCACGTTTTCGCGTTCGCCCCGTTTTATACCCATTTCAATTAGATATGCAAACCTTACCGTATCGATTGTTTCGGTTTCAACGTATGTAATGTTATGATTCGTTCCGTCAGAAGTCCGCCTCGCTCGCCTACGTCATCCTAACGAATATCCAACATTTCCGATTAGCGAAGGGAAAGAACACCAAAACATGTCAGACGGATACAACACATGCCAGTGTGACGTCCTCTAAAACCGTCTTCGGAAACATCAACTGCTATTACTAAACAAATCTCGTTCACTCAGAATCGTTTTTACTACGCATTTCTACACGTTCTACACATTGGTTTCAAGTTTAAAAGATCGACACAACAACATCGTTCATCCTATCTAGGTGTTTCACCAGTTTTTCAAAAAATTTATCTTAACGATACCGAAGTAATTTTCATCACCATCCTCCAGTAACAACATTTCTATATTTTGGTTGTCATAAATAAACATTTGTGTTGCTTGTGTATAGAAACACATCGTGATAAAAGTTGTAAAATTCATCGCTTTTACATATCGGTAAGTGCATCATAATGACCAACGATAAATTAAAGCGATAGGTCATAAGTATAAATACACGTGTAATATTTAAATCAAACGATAAATAATGTAAGAATTAAAATATCAATTTTTTTATTTGTATGTTTGATCCTCTGTGAAAAAAACCGTAATCTAGTATTCATATATATATTATTTATACATATATAATATATTAATAGTATTAATATGGTTGCATTGTAATTGAATATTAATGAAATTAAGAGAAAATATAAAATAAAATGGGGTTTAATCGATCAATCCTATTATATGGGAGTTCATACGAAGATTTGTCGGGCGAAATATTTTATACTCGATCAAACTTCATCTCGTCGTACAACAATACAATAATACAAATATAATAATACAATAATACAAATATAAAAATATAATAATACAATACCATACGCTTTTTCATAATTGTTTGTAAGATTGTATCAAACAAATTTGTACAATTTGTCGTACAATTAATTGTATCCTGTATGGACCGCTTAATAGCAATCTGCTATCATAGTGTTGCTTACGACGTAGGTTAAAGGGTTTATCTTTATTTTCAACACTTTGACGCTTTTACCTACTAGGTATCGAATGAATGCAACACAAGATCAAATTTAAGTAAACAATTGCACAGTTTATTTAATCCGCAATGGGAAAACAATTAAATATTACAAATAGTTAAAAAATAATCATCTGTTGTTACGATTGGTTAATTTTAAGAGTTACAATAAGTGTCTCAATGGTACTCAATTACTAATAATGTTAAGTTTAAATTACACGTTATGTAAAAAAATATATTGAATAAATGTAAATAATACAATATTGGCACTTGTAAATAATTGTAAAATGTAAATTCATTAACCATCAGTATATAGAGATTATTTACATTAAATAAATATAAAAAAAAAATTACAATAAATAACAATATTAAACCGTTGGATCATATATGGATCGCATATAACTTTTTTATATATTTAGTACATAATACAGATGAACGGTTACACAGTATTACGATTTTTTCATTTCTTTTTTCATTAAATGGCACTTGAGTATTCTATAATAAATATTATATACCTTCTTAATAAATGTGTAATTCGCCTACAGTAAAATACATATCAAAAAATGACCATCTATGTATTAATGTATATAAAAAAATTTTTTATAACTTTTACTAAGAGGAGAAATAAATGTAGTAAAAATATTAAATAGTACAAAAAAACTTTGAGAATATAAATTTGAAAAAAAAATGTAAAAAATAATAATACTTTTTTAAAAATTAAAAAAAAAAACACAAGACAGGATTAATTAAGAGATTAATCAACATTGGTTTGATTAAAGGAAACATAATAATATCGATTACGGGGTTAACACCAATTATACGTATATTTCGTTTGTTCCGATGACGCCGATATTGGTTTTTAGAGTCGGAACGGTTCTCGGGCTTCCGGTTTCGAGTCTCTGCGCTTCGTTGTATCGGATGCGTTCGATGGTCTGCGTGTCAGACCGGAAGCCGAAGGCGTGGTGGCCAACGGCGATTGCAACCTGTTAAACGGAAAAAAAAAACCAGAAAAAAATTCGATATTATTATAAATTCAACGTCGAACATAGTATTATATAACGATAATAGAAACAAGCTACGCGACACACACAATAGCAACATTCAACACAAAATGTATAGTACAGTTTTGGAAATTTACACCGCGGGGTAGAAACTAGGAAAAAACATTCGCACACTAATTTATAATGTACTATGGATTAATAGAGTATACACTTGCGTCTAGGTCAGTGATGTCCAACCTTTTTCCTTTGGCGGGCCACTTTGGTAAACAATTATCTTCAAGTGGGCCACAAAGTATAAAAGTACAAAAATAATCTTAAATATTGGACTTATTTTCTTATCTTTTATTGTCTATTGAAAAGATTATGAATTAAGGTACACATTAGTTTGATTAGTACGTTATTTTAAGTACACGGATGATATCGATATTTAATTGTAAAGTTTGCGTATGAAAATGTCAGACAGAAAAAAACGCAAATATATTGATGATTGCTGAATTTTCAATGGTCTATAAATTACTTTTTCATTGAAATTAGTGGAAAAGCCGTTTGTCTTGTGTGTCGTGTAACGGTTTCAGTTTTTAAAGAATTTAATATCAAACGGCATTATGAATCAAAAAATGTTCTTACATTTTTAAAAATTTTTTTTTATTTTAGAAAATTCGTAACGGGCCACATAGAATATCTTTGTGGGCCACTTGTGGCCCGCGGGCCGCGGGTTGGGCACTACTGGTCTAGGTGATATTAAGCATTGGAGATTTACGTATGCGTAACAACACAATTATAGACCTAGGTTTTTATAAGTCTATTCTATCGCAAGCATAACTAAGGGAAACCGATTGAGCCCGTTAATTTTTTTTTTTATAAAAACCTCTTCTAAATAAACGGGTGTTTGCACAATTATTTCTTTGATACCAGAATTGTTATTTCTCTATTTTTATACCATTGTTGTTTGTTACAAAACGAAAATGCTTCGTCGAGAAAAAATTCTACCAATAGTATGATAATCATAGAAACCTTTTTCTCTTAACATAATACGTAGTAGGATCAAAAAGTTCCCGGAATTTATTTATAGAAAAAAAACTATATTTCTTATCAAATATCTGATTATTGGAATTAAAAGTAGACATTATTAGCTATCTATAGGTTTAGTTATTAAAAGTACATTAGTCTCATGTGAGCCGTAATTGAATCCATACGAAATTGTGTTTACACATTTTTTCAAAATGTCACAACGCGCTAACATTAAATTTTGTTTTAAACTTGGAAAAACTGCCGCAGAAACGCTCGAATGCTTGAAAACAGTTTATGGTGATGGAGCATTAAAGAAAACAGCCGTTTATGATTGGTTTAAACGGTTCAAAAATGGCCAAGAGTCACTTGAAGACGAAGAGCGGAGTGGCCGGCCGTCAACTTCAAAAAACGATGAAACAATCGAAAAAGTTAAAAATTTGGTGCAATCAGATCGTCGTTTACACATTCAAGATATGGTAAATGTATTAGGAATATCGTATGGTTCAGTTAAAAACATTTTAAAAGATGATTTAGGAATGCGGCGCGTTTTCAAATTGCGACATTTTGAAAAAATGCGTAAACACAGTTTCGTATGGACTCAATTACGGCTCATATGAGACTAATGTACTTTTAACGACTAAACCTATAGATAGCTAATAATAGTCTACTTTTAATTCCAATAATCAGATATTTGATAAGAAATATAGATTTTTTTCTATAAATAAATTCCGGGAACTTTTTGATCCTACTACGTATAAACGTAATATGTATAAAAAAAAATGAAGATATTTTTATAGCAAAAATATTACTGAAAACGTCAACATTATATAGAGGAAAAATACAAGTAAATAATTTGTTGAATATTGAAAGAAAATATTACGCAACCCGGAAAACAATTTATCCTCATCCCTAACAGCTAAATATCTATATACATATGTATTTACCTCACTAAACAATAGGTATAGTGTAATACACAACATAAAATCACACACATGACTTACAAACTGCACGTCACAAACACGTTCGTGATAAAGTATAAAGTGTTATTATAATATTATAATACAGACAGTAACGGCGTGCTGGAAAAAATAAAAAGCGAAACGGATAAGAAGCGACGACAGGGTAAATACACAACGAAAAAGGAAACACGTAGTTATGTGTGTTGATGATTTGTTGCGCTTTACCCGGAAGACGGTGACGACGACATGGGCGATGACGTAGGCATTGTTGTCAATTCCCGAGAGGTACACGGCCTCGCGAGAACGGGTATTTTCGAACCCTGGTGGCTCTGGTTACGACTGCAGAACCGTGACGGAAAGCAGAAAAATAAAATAATAAAAGTAAATTAGCGCACTTGAACCAGAGAAATAAATAGTGAAACAAGCACGAAACGATGTGTGTATAAAAGGGCCCAAAGTTTGGCATCAGTCCGATCCAAAACGTATTTAATTATATAATACAAATTGAACGTATAGTTTGATATAATCAAAACTCGGCAACGAAATCGATTAAAAAAAAAAAACGCCACTGATAAGTAGGTACTCGTCCAACAAAAATCGAAAAGGAGTTTATTAAATATCGATCATTATATTGAACAATTTTTATATTCCTGCTATCTGTTATGTATTTTATTTTATTTTAATAAACAATAACTACATTGAATTCAATGAATACATTTTTCAATAACTACACGACATATTTATAAATATAAAACTAAATGATATAGACATAAAAATAAAAAAACTGAAATATAAGAGTGTAATAGATTATATTAAGTACGAACTGATTAGATAATGTTTACTGTCAATTAAATTAATATTAAAATGAACAGTTGACAAGGGAACTATTAAACAAAAATTCTTACTATTTATACTTATATTATATTATATAAATATAAGATACTCGATTTTAATTTTATTCTGCCCATCACCGAACAATTTTTGCACATAATAATATGTAGCATAAAGAACGTGCTAAAAATATGTATTAATAAAATACTATTACTACTTATAAATTATAATGTTAAAAGGTTAGTTACCTAGAACTTGAGTTAGACAATGTAGGTATACTCGACGACCTGTGCATTGACAGGGACCTGAATATATAATATAATATATAAGTAACGTTAGAGAAAGTTAGGCGAGTTAATAAAAATAATTTATAAATAAAAATGATTACTAGACACGCTCTAGAGTAACAAAAATGATTTTATTACCTGGTGGACGATGACATTGATTGGTTTCCAAGTGTGGACGGAGAGCGAACTCCTCTACCCGTACTACTCTGTCCATTGAGCGTAGACTTACGTGTGGTTGACGAAGGCGTCTTGCCAGGCGTTAGTCTCGGTATGCGGCTAGGCGTAGTCGAGTCTGGAATACCAACACCATACAGGTATTAGATCGAGAATTAACAAAATCACAAAAACTTTGCGGACATTGGAAAAAAACTGAAGTAAATAAAAAGTATTTTACCGGTTAACTTTTCCCCGTCAATTTCATTTTCTAATACCACACTTTTCATACCTCACTATACTATATGGTGCATACATAGTAACTGAAATTATATTTAAAAGACGTTTTCACCTAAAAACTGATATTATTACCCTGGATTTCGAGACAAAACTTATGTTGTAACTATATTTGATCAAAGGCCAGAAGCTCAGCATAAAAGTTTATTTTATTCAGGTAAGGCAACTATAGGCCTACCTCCAAAAAATTATTCATAATCATTAAAAACATAAAAAAAAAATTATTTCTCCCTACGTCTTATACTGGAACTTTATACCATGCTCAGAGATCAAGAGCCTAATTGAGCCTAAAAAAACCCCACTGTGACTTGAAAAAATCGTTTATGAATTATTTTAAATGTTGTAGATGGGGTGATAGTAACACCAAATAAAACTTTACTCGACCTTAAATTTTAAGTTATCGAACCACTGCTATAGGGACCAATACTGTAAACTAAATCATGTTTCCAAAAACATCATCCTCGGAGAAGACTAAGGCCAAACGATTGATCAACTCTGTCATAAACTCACCGGTGCTGTCCAAGGATAGATTGGACCCGTGTCGACTGGGCGGCTTGCTTCCCGGACGACTCTGAGGCCTGCTTGTCGGTCGGCTGGCGGGCAAACTTCCGGTAAGCCCGGCATTCGACTTCCGGACGGTGGGTGTGGAAACTTTACGGACAGGTGTCCTTGAGTACGGTGATGACTCGCTGTCGCTAAGCGAATCCGGTGTACCAGCCGTACGGTTTACGCCCATTTTACCCATCGGTACACTCCTGGAACTTCGTTCGCGCACCTATACACCCACAACATCCACGTATAAAAAACTATTCGCTAACCGTAGAAAAAGCACAATATAACTTGTACAGATATTTCCACATAGATTTATGAAATACGTACGGTGGTGGTGGTTGAACAGTGGCGTGACGATAATATAGGAACGAAAACGCGCGACGTAAGTAAAATAATGTTGATCATGGTCCCTAATAACACTGCTCGTGTAGAAAAACAATAATTTTTTTTTTTTATTATTAATTTTTCCAGAGTCGAGTTCCCGTAACACAGTCACGCGGCTGAACAAACACCACGCGAGATGACATTAAATAATAGATGACGACAAACGGCGTCGATAAGATTTTAAAAAAAAATTATAAATAAATAAATCTACTCGTATATAATAATAAAAATGCTCCAGCGCAATGTATTACATGACAATTTACCCAGGTGTTGGTTTGCCTGCTGGGGCCCATTGCAAGAGGATACGAACACGGCAATGACTCTCGTTGTCTTAAGCTCTCGAATATCGGCATCAACTCTCTCAAAAACTCTTCGGCTATTTTTTTTTTTTTCGTAAACATATTATGTTATTACAATTTACTATCAATCAATAAGTATTCTCATATGCTCTCCCCCGAAGTGCCTCGGCGTAACCAAGGAGTGTTTCATGTACATGTGCCTATGTACATCACGACACAGTATACGATGAAAAAAAAATCAGTTTTTCGTTTATCAATAAAAAAAAAACCCTTGAGAACTTAATCTGTTTAACATTTCTTCTCCACCTCCACTATTTGTACAAAAATATGCGCTTTACAAACCACAAGCCGACAGTTCAAAAGTAGAGCTCACGCCTTTAATAACTATATGAATAAATTATATTTTACACTTTTATAACTAACTACGTACTCGGATATAGCAGCGGCGAGCAAAAAAAAAAAAAGCCAATTTTTCACACACTTTTACACGATGCAACAACATGACAAACAATAATGTAGTCAGTGCTTCTTACTTGGATATACATACATACATATATATATATATATGTGATTCGGCAGATATTAGTCATTTTACCTTGGTGATAGGTCCGGCCGTAGACACAGACCGCTGTTGTTGCGCGTTGTGTTTCGGTTTGAATGCAGACATGCTCTGTGACACGCCATCGGCCAATATGAATTGCTCACGAAGTTCGATGTTTGTGCGTCCTTTGGCTGTGAGTGCGTAAAGGAAATGAAAAGGTGTGATGAAAAGGAAAAAATTGTTAAAAAAAAAAAAAACATCACAATTAAAAGTGATTAAAACAAAACAATACGTTAAATTGTTAAAATCATAATAATCAAATCAAAAAAAAAAAAAAAAAAACCAAAAACATTAGTACAACTAAAATAAATAATTATAATACGAAGCCAAACCGGATTAGTGTCCTCACGCCAAGTTAGGCATTCAGCATATATATTAATAATTAATAGCATGCTAGTGAGCGGTAACTAAATATACTTTGCGGAATAAAGGGAAATACATACATAGGCGAAACTACGAACTGGATCAGAAGCAAAATATTCTGTTAAAGTCAGGAAAAACCAACAATAAAATTTATTTATTTCATTTACGATGGTTTTATTATAACCAGCGGTTCTGCACGCCAACCATCAAGTTAGGTCTGCCTACATAGTTTCGCTTATAAATGATACGTAAAAGGATCCATATTTGACAAAAAAAAACTCAATAGAAGTGACGGCAGTGGCTGATGCGGCATGCACAATATGCGACAACCAAAAATTAAATCATAATGCTACAAAGGTTTACGAAAATTGCGCTCGATGCGATGATGTCGTTGCGCGTTTGTGCCACTAATTTTTTTTAATAATAAATACAACATCGTGTTTAACGACGACCACGTCCATATGATATTTAATAATACCTTTTTGGTCGTTGAAGAAGACTTATAATAGTACTGCTGTACCATCGAATAATACAAAACACAAAAAAAACCCTAAAAAAAAAACCGTGCAGCAAAAAAAAAAATATTTGAAAAAAATGTAATGATATAGCGATCATACAGTTCAATTGGACTAAGCTGTAAGGACACCAAGGTTCGTGTTCTTCGGGCACGAATGGGTTAGGCATCGGCAACATTTCAACTAAACTCAACCAAAAAATATAGTATAAAAATAAACGGAAAAATAAAACAAAAATAATAAAAACAAATTTGAGAACAGGAAATGGTGGACAACAAGGACAAAACAAAACAAAAATTGAGCAAATAAATAAGAAACAATAGTATTTTATGTTAATTACGCAATTTGGAAACTAATATATTTAATGTTAATATAATGTACACATGCGTTTGAGTGATAATAGTATAAAATAGTTGTTTTAATTGTTTACTTTCTCAAGAGTTTGTTTTTAATTATTAATATTTATATTAAAGTAGATATGTTATTTATTTAAAAAATATTTGTCTTTTGGTTAACCACGAGTATATGTTTACCCTTGTACTAGCGAGGCACCGGTTAAGAGATACTATAATAACATTAAAATTAACTTATTAATTAGTAAATATTATAAATATATATATAATTTATTTATCCCAAATTTACCCGACCATCGATTAAAAATGAATAGAATTATTTTATTAGATTTTTTGATATATAGAATATTGACATAAAAAACTCACCTCTGCATGGATCATTTTTAACTAAAAATTCGTCGAGTGCAACCCAACCACCTCCGACACGTACCATAACAGTAGACCTCAAAATACGAACAAGACGTAATTTCTGACTGTCACCAAACTACAAACACAAAATAAAACGTTATAAATAAGCCCGGTTTAGTTAATTAATACAAATCTTCATTACCCTGTATTTTCCTTCTCCCACTTGGAACACTCTGAACTTCTGTCGGCAAGTACACAACATTACTAGCCTCTTAACTTCGTCATGTATTTTCTCAGCTTCGGTATCGGGTTTCTTTTCTTCCCAGTCGGGTCGTAAAGCGGCTATGAATTCTTTCCAGTCAATCAAACCAAGTTTATCATGATCGAACATATCAGCCACAGCATTCATTTCCAATTTACTGGTGTCAAATTCTAAACAACGTAAATTATCATAAGCTATCGTCATCGAGATACATTTAGGTTATAATATTTATATTAAAAACTCACTAGTTTTCATAATTCCGTCAATAAAGTCATCTCTCGGAATTAGTCCATCGTTATTCTTGTCCATTTTTCTGAACAAGTCTGTAAGCCTGGATTTTTTATGATTCATGAACTTCAAGAACTATAGATAAATCAAACGATTAAATAATCTGAATGAAAACACTATTTAATATGGACATACTCGTTTTCTCCATATATCCCACGAGAAGTTTCTGACTTTCTCGACTTCTCTTAAGTAGTTCAGATGCTCTTGGAGACGGCGTTGACGTTCCCAAGCCATCAGCCATACTGAATGCCATTTGTCCCAAAGTTGTCGGCAACGTGAATTGCGTAGTAATGGCTCTTCTACTTTACTACTCATAATATAAAAAGATAAAACCATGTCAATACACGATATTGAATAAAAATACATCACAAACAAATAATACAAATATTAAACTAAGCTTCTACACATGAAAATAATATAACATTTTATATAAATAAATATTATACTCAATTATTTAAATAAAATAAATATTTTTTTACCTTCCTTTAGCTGGGAATCGAGGTCCAATGTGTGGCAAATGGTCCATGGATTTGTCTCGTACAATTGGACTACCCCGACTAAACAGAATAAAAAATAACATCGTTATAGTTAATTGAAATAGCATGTTAAAAAATGATAAACTAAATTAAACAATTATTAACAAGTATCATCATACTTAAAACCCGAAATTCAATTATTTACAAAACTATGTTTAAAAACTTTATATACATATTAAATAGTTGTTTTATCAATCCAAAAATCAAACAAAAATGTTTGGACATTAAAACATACAGCTTTAAAACAATAAAAAACAAAGATATGTTAAAAACTGTAACCCCAAGTAAATATAAATATTTAAATTCTATACATTTTAAAGTAGATACTTTACTATAAAATTAGATTTAAATTAAAAATTATTATTTAATTTCTATGTTCTTTTTTTACATTCCTTACTTTTTTTAAAATTATAATGAAACGTGCATTTGTGGTAATTAAGCCAAATGGTAATTTTAAATATTTGTAATCATTAGCAACACCGATCATTACAAATATAAATAAATTATAAAATGTATTATACTTAAATGTGCTATGTGCATTTTGTACCAACCTTTGTCTGCGTTGCTCGGTTAAATCATGTAAACTGCCAGCTAAATCCTCTCGGCTGAAAATGTGCAAAATGTGCAATCTTATAAATTTAATATCAAGCGTGCAAGTGACTATTTATGAAAATTAGTTACACAAAATGTATGTAGCGAATACAAAATGAAAATATTTCTTAAACACTATAAGCACTAAGTAAACTATCATGCAACTGAAAATAAACCATAAATAACTGGCATGTTTTGTTTTTAATATTGATTTTGTACTATGTTAAATAATAAATTATTTATCTGTTTTAAGCCGAACCTGATCGTAGAAGTTTTTTTAGCGGATGGCTTTCTACCAACTGGAGCAGTGGGCTGTTTAACTTTGCAAACAGTATCAACTTCAGTTTGCCTTTTAGCAGTGCTTTCCATGAATTCACGATGTTCTTCAATAAGTTTTTCAACTACTTCTATACTGTCAGGTAACGGTTCAGATTCAAGATCCAACAATTGATTTTCCAGTCTAGTCAACCAAGAGAATAATTCTTCTAACAATGAATCCAAGTCCTGGAGAGACTGTAGATGTTCTACGAGTCTTTGCTCGCGCTACAAAAGAAAAAAGAAATATAATTTTACGATAACAGTTTAAAATAGATCTGTCTAGATCTGCCAAAAATGTTTTACCTGTTTCGCCCATGTCCATACTTCTTCCCATCTAGACTCAATTATGGTAATCCAATGTTTGATTACTCCAACAGCATCTGGATGAGCCTTTTCTAAAATTTGTTGTGCCAGTGCAACTGTAAAATCTTTTTCATGCAGTTTATCAGACATTTCTTCCATGAACTTCCTATGCTCATTCAACTGGTTTCTGGTTTCTTGTTCATTATCTGGTAATGGCCCAATGAATCTTAATTTCATTTCTGCATCAGATAACCACTCCAACAGCAAATGTACAGATTTATGCAGTTGTTCAGCCTAAATAAATTAAAATCCATTTGAGTTAATACCCAACTTGCATATTTATATTTATCAAATATCGTAAACTAACTTGTTTCAGTGCATCTTCAAGTCGTTCGGTTCGTTTTTCACACAAATTGCTAGTACGGTTCCATAAGCCTTCCAAATCATCTAATTGACTTTGAATAACAGCTCGGTCAGTATTATTGGCCTTAGACATCAAATCCTTACCAGTCTGTCGTACAGTTTTCATTTGTTCAAAACGTTTAGATAATGTCTCTTCAAATGCCTAAAATTAAAAAATTTAACATAACGACCATAAACTTAACACAACATCATCTTTAAATTTTAGAATATAATCATACTATATTTACCTTATGCTGTTCAACTAGAGCCATTACTGTATCCAAATCTCCATGGACTGGCCCATCATCTGTTAGTCGTTTTTCAGTTTTACGTAACCAATCCAAAAGAGCTTCCATAGCATCTTTAAATTGTCCACAGTATAACAAAGCTTCTTCCAATTTCCTCTGTCTATCCACAGATTTAGTACAAACCATGTTCCACTTTTCTTTTAATTCATTAATCATTTTATTTAATTGATGTTCATCACTCTTGGGTGCTTTTTCTTTCAACCCTTTTCCCATTCTCATTGTAGAATCATAAGTAGCTTGTTTTCCACTTAAGGCTCGTTGTACATCTCTGTGTTTAGCTAAACGTTGTTTAATACGCTCTGGATCATTTCCAATACTAGCATCTTGAGTTAATTCATCCAAATTCTTTTCTGCTGTAATCAACCATTCCATAAGGCTTGACCATGCTTCATGGAACTCACGAGCTTCTTTATAACCATGATCAAGTGCACGAGTTCTTTCAGCACTCTTTGACACAACTCGTTCAAAACGATGTTGTACACTAACAAAACATACAATACAACAAACATTTCAATAAAATAAATAATTTTAAAATTAATATTACCTGATTAATAAGTTTTTAATAAGTATAACATCTTGTTTTTGTGAGAAGTATTTAAGATGAGTTCCTTTCTTGTCCAAATGAAGCATAATTTCTCGATGGGAGCTTACATCTTTTTGAAATGTTTTATGATCTTCAATTTGTGTTAAAATAGTGGTTAGAATACGAGAAACAGGTTTCAAGTTTGATAATGTTTTCTCAGCATCAGTTAGCCAATCAACAAACGCCTAATCATATTAATATAAATTTACATGAATAATCATTTATTTACAAAATGATTAAATTAATAAATGTGAAACATACCTGTAAAGCATTATGGAACTCAGTAGCTTCCTTCAAGGCTATCTCCAATTTAATTTTTTTATCATTAGCTCTAGCAGTCACACTATCCCAACGCTGTTTAAGAGTTTTCAAATTCTGTTGAAGATTTCCTGAGCCAGGTGATTTTTTCAAATATTCTTGACCTTGGGCCAAAACCGTTTCTACCTTAGGTCTATTAGATTCTAATTCATCATAAACTTCCATAAACCGTTCTAATTGTTCACTAGCAGTCTCAGGTAAACCACCAACCGGTTTAGATGTTGCTATTACACCATCAACTTCACCAAGCCATGACAATAGATCTTGTATTTCTACAGCAAACCTTTGAGCTTCTTGCAGTGCGTCTTCCAACTCCAGTTGGCGATCAGCTGCCTTTTGTAATAAGTCCTTCCAACTCTTATTGAGTAAATTAAGTTTATCTTGAGTAGAGTTAGCTTCAGCAGACCCTTTCCCATTTTCAATCAATTGTCTACCAGCATCGTTTAAAGTGTCAACGCTCGACTGATGAGCATGAATGTCGTTAACTAATACTTTGAGTTTGGCAAGTTCTACTTCTAGCAGTTGAGAATCACCAGCCACAGGTTTTAAATCTTTGTCTAAGGTCTTATTAGTCCCATCGATCCAAGCAAGAAGTTCAGCTAATGCATGATGGAATTGACCTAATTGTAAAAGACTGTTCTCCAATTGACGTTGTCGTTCTACAATGCCCTTTAGCAGATTTTCCCATCTTCGATTGACTTCAGTTAATGGTTGTTTCAGAGCAGCAGCCTGTTCAACTGTAGTTCTTTCTGTAAGTTCTTGAGCTTGTCTAAAATGTATACAGTTATAGATATTAAGCTATCAAGTAATTATAGGTGCATTCATTAATAAATTAATACATATGTGTTCATATATAAATCAATCTATAATTATTACCTAGTTAATTTTCTATTAAATAATAAAATCCAGTGAAAGCAGTAAAATATAATAATATAACAATCAATAGTAATTTAAAATAAATTTTCAAAAAATAATGTAATATATACCTGTTCAAAGCTTCTACTTTAACCATTTGAGGATCAATATCAGATTTAAAGTTTTTGAGTTCACCAATCTGATTTTTAACAACCTTTATGTCTGTACCTAAAGGACCTAGATTGGCAAAACGACGTTCTGCTCCATCCAAAAATTTAAGCAAATCCTAAAAAAACATTGTTATTAAAAATTGCAAATTAAAATGAAAAATATAAATAATAATTATACTTGTAATGTTTCATGGAACTCCATAGCTTTTTCCATAGCATGAATCAAATTTTCTTCACGTTTTGCAAATAATGCGGTAACAGTTTCCCAAGCATTATCTAAATCTTCAATGTTTTTCTTAACTTCTGGTTTATCAGGATCTCCGCAAACTTTCATCAATTTCTGACCACTTGCACGGCATTGGTCTACTTCAGGCTTGGTTTGATCAATTTCTGCTTTGATTTCTCTTAATGCAGCTTTTTGTTGTTTCAATACAGCTGGTTCTACGGCTGGAGGATCTTGTGATTGTAAGGAATCTTGCAAATTTTTGAGTGTATTCATAACATTCTGTAATTCTTCCCAGAACCTTTCAGCCAGTATGAGAGCTTCTTCAAGACTGCGACCACGATCATTGGTTGCTTCTTGTACTTCATTCCATAGACTATTCAATCGATCTAACTTACGTTTGATATCTTTAACAGCTGGATCAGATGAATTAGGAGCTTTATTAATGACATCATTTGCTGCTCTTTTAACAGCTTGGAATGCATCACCACGCTTATGCAAATCTTCAACAACAGCATCATTTTCATCTTGTTGATCACGAATTTTTGGAGGATGTGCAGATATAGGTTCAGCACCAGATACTTGTTCAGCAGTGTTCTGTAATGCTCTTAACATGCCTTCCAATTTATCACTAAATTGACTAGTTTCTTGTAATGCTTTTTCTAAAGCTTGTTGCCTTTGTCGAAGTTCTAATCTTAGTGCTGCATACCTAGCATTGTCACTGTCCATTATATCTTGGATTTTCAATCCCTCTTCTTCATTACATAATCTAATTAATGCCTCACCAGTTTTATTAAGTTTGTCAACTAGAGGTTTATGTTCTGCAATAGATTGTACAAACATTTCATTTTTATCTTGTTGTTGGGCAATAAGTTCTGGTCTTAGGGCAGGCATAGCTAACATTGATACTTGTCTCTCCATGTCATTTAACCAACCCGATAAATCAAAGTGTGATTCTTGGAAGTGTTGGGCAAGAGGTAATGCTTGTTCAAGTACACTTAAACGTTCAGCACTTAATGATGATACATGTTCCATAACTTCTCTAAGGTCTTCCATTTTTTCACGCATGAGACTAGTATCATTGCTTTGTGTGACTTCTCTCAATACTTTTTTAGCCAAAGATAAAACATCTCTACCACGTCCTTTTTGACTAGATATATCATCATTGAGTGCCTTGTGTTCTTTGAGTTGTACGCGAATAACATCTACTTCACTACTTGGAGGTTCTGCATCTCTCAGTTGATTTTCTACCTCACGGAACCAATCCAACAAATCATCCATATCACCAATGACTTCAAGTGATCGTTGTTTGGACAAATGTATACGTTCTGCTTTTCTTTGAATTTGTTCAGCAATGGCATCAAATCTTCTATTATCTCTTGTGACAAGACCTTCAATAGTTGAAGCACCTTCACCAGGAGACATTTGACATAACTGCGGTCCTATTTGATTAATGTTTTCTAAAACTGGACGGAATTCTGTACAAAACAAAAAAAAAAAAAAAACAAATTTGAAAACTTACAATAATTATAATTATTATGTCAATTAAATTCAGTCTTTAATTATTAAAAACTAAATTTAATTGACACAGAAATTTGAACAAAATTTAGAAATATATATTAATTATAAATATTGTAATTTTTAACTATCTATTTCATTTAAGTAGATAATCAATCAAACTTTTATAATTTTTATTTTGCAATTTATACATTTTTTAATAGCAATTATACAATTTTACTATGCAAATTTTATATAACTTTCATTGAAATTTGGATATAGTTTTAGTGCAATTAAATATATTTTTTAGTTTTTAAATATTATTAATGATATAATACAGATAATAATTTAAATACCTTGAATGTCAAGTTCTAGATTGTGTATGTCTTCTTCTTTTGGTTCAGCAGTTTGTAATTGTGATTCAGCAGACAACATCCAATCACCCAAACGTTTATGAGCATTATGAAATTGTTGAACAAGTGGTAACATGCTCTCTGCATTCTTCAATAAATCAGTACCAGTAGTAACCAAGTCATTGTAACGTCTCTGCAATACATCTAACTTATCTTTTAATTGTATGGCTTCATCACTGGTTATATGTTTCATAAGCTCCATGCCTGTATCTATAGTTCCATCTACATCTGACTGATGATTTGATATTTCTTCGCACAAATCTGCAATATCCTCCATTTGTGCCACAAGTTTATCAGTATGCACAGGTAATATTTTGTATTTTCCTAGGCGTTTTTCCATGCCTTCCATCCATGCTTGCAAATCTTGATAAGTTAATACCAGATGCCTAAGACCAGCACGAGAATCTTGTAATAATTGTCCCACTTTATCTGATGTATTTACAAGAACAGCATAACGGTCAGCTGTTTCTTGAATACGATCTGCTACACCAGATGCTTCATCTTCACCAACCAAAGCCATTAAAGTACTAGCTACTTCAGTAAGATCATGAAACTCAGGATTTTTTGATAGGATTTCATTATGCAATTTCTAAAAACAAAATATTGATAAAATATTTGAAAAATAATTATTTAGTTTATTTCACTTACGCTATGTTCCTTAATCCTTTGTTGTATTTTTTCTTCGTCTGTGGGAATGAGTTCCATATCTTTAATTTTTTTCTCACTTTTATCCAACCACTCTAAAAGAGGTGTTATTTTTTCCAAGAACTCTTTAGCAACAACCATAGCTCTTTGTAAATCATCCATGCGTTTTGTAGCACCACGATCCAGATTATCAAAACGTTGAGATAACTCTTTCAATTGAATTTCGATCTCCTTACGTTCTCTTGGATCAGCATTGGCTGCAACTTCATTGCCCATATCAAATATTGATGACATGGAATTTTGACGATCCGCCAACATTTTCTTTAAGAACTAAAATTAAAAAATTAAAATAAAAAATTGAATACATTATTTAATTACAACCAAAACAATTCAATAGATATATTTACCTTTTGCTCCTGCAATTGTGCCTTAACTACTTTGTAATCAGCAGAAGGTGGTTTTTGGTTAGATACTAATTCTTCTGTATCAGCTAACCATTTTGCAAATCCATCTAAAGCTTCTTGAAACTTACCAGATTGCAAAAGTCCATAGTCCAAACGTCTATCTCTTTCATTCAATTTTTCTTTGAGTGCATTCCACTTATCATTCATTTTCTCTAAATCTTTTTCTAAAATACCAGTGTTAACACCACGGGCAGCAGATTGTATTAATCTTTGACCCAAGCCATTCACATCACCAACAGATATAATAAGTGGGTCAATGGTGTTCTTTCTGAAAGAATTGAACTCCTGTTGTTGAAATTTAATTGCTTCCACTTCAGAACCAATTGGTTTCAAACCCTTAAATTCATCCGTTGCATGTTCTATATCTTGAATAACATTATCATGTTTATTCTTAAAATCTTGTAGCCTGTCTAAAATATTTTCAAGATCAGTTTGTCTATTAGACGCTTTTTCATCAAGTTTATTTAATTGGCGAGTTAGTGATTCAGCTTGATCACGCATAGAAGTAGAGTCTTCCAAACGCTGACCAAGTTCTAGCATTTCTGTGACATTATCTCCAGCTCTAGCAATTTTCTTAACAAATTTGTCTATTTCGTCTAATTGACCTGTCACTGTTTTAATATCTCGACCAGGTGGTTTTAATGAGTCAAATTCAGCTTCCAAATCATTCAAGTTTTTACCAAGTGCTTTTACTTTATCAGCATATTGTGCCAATGCAGTTGATGCGGACAGTAACTGTGAACATCTATCATCCAGTTTACCTTCTAAATCATCTAATCTATCCATAAGATTGTCTACATCATCTTGTAATTTTAATGAGTCACCAACACCCATTTGAACAGCTTCTGAAGCTAAGTCACCAGCTGTTTGTCTAAGACTAACCAATGGATTTCTTAACTTTCTAGCATCTTCCCGCAAAGTTTTGATTCTTTCTAACAGTTTTGGATCTCGAGCAGCACCACCAATTGAATCATGTGATGCAAGTTTATCTTCACAACGCTGCAATGCGTGTTCAGAATCTCTTAAACTGTCAGAAAAATCAGCTAACTTTCTTGATATGTCTTCTAACCATTGTGTTTTTTCCATTAATTCATTGTTCAATTTATCCCAGCGTGTTTTGATTGTAGACAATTCTTGTTTTACAAGTTCTTTATCTACATCACAAGAAGAAAGGAATGTTTCCCCAAGTGTCTTAACATTTTCAAACTCACCAGAATGTTTCCACACTTCATTTCTAAAAGCTGATAATTCTCTTAGTTGTTTATCCACATCTTTTTTGCTAAAACTATTTGGTCGAATAAGTTCTAATTTGTTTTCAGCTTGTGTTAACCATGGCATAAAAGATTCTTGAGCTCTGTAATATTTCCTACAGTGTTCCATACATGTTTGAAGTCTGTTATGGCGTTCTACAGCTTCTTTACGCAATTTATCCCAATTTTGTTGTATTTTATCTAAATCGCGTTGTAAGTTACGAGATTCGTTACGCTGTCCAGATCGAGATAACATATCACGACCTTTATTCAAAAGCATAATAACTTCATGTTCTTTGTGTAATACTTCTTTATATATAGGTTCATACTGAGCTACTTGTTGTTGTAATATATCTTTATCTGCAGATATTAAAAGACGTTCTGTAAGACTGCCCAATTGATCAGACAACCAACCAAGAGTCAGAGCACAAGAAGCTTCAAATTGTCTACCATCCTTAAGCGATCCTTCAATTTCCGCTTTTTTATTATCTAATTTTTTTTGCAAATTATTATATTGACGGTTAATAGCAGCTAATTTTGCTTGAATATCGGCTTTACAAGCTGGATCATCTAGTACATTACATAAATGATTGCCAGCATCTTCCAAATCAGCTAATAGAGGTCTTTGACCTTCCAACTGCCGTTCCAAGTTTTGTATTTTTCTAAGTCTCTCTTCAGGTTCTTTATCATATGAAACATCATCTAGTTGATCAGAAATATTCTGTAGAGCTTCTGTTAAACGAGCAAGGCCTGCGTCAAATTCTCTAGTAGAATCTGCTGCTGCACCCAGATTGGATGCTCTATCTTCTAATTTACCAAGTAAATCTGACCATTTTTGCAAAATCGCTGATAATTTATTAGAAAATCTTTGAGCATCTGGCGATTTAGGATCCGGTATTCGATTCAAAATGCTTTCACCAACAGATGTTAAATGAGTAAGTTGTGGTTGTTGGGTTCTAAACTCTTCTCTTAATACTTGTATTTGCTGAACTTGACTTTGTACTATTCTAGAATCTGATGATATTGGGCCTAAAACATTTAACATGCGTTCTTTGGCACCTAACCAATTAGATAAATTGTCATGAGAGTCATGGAAATCTTTTAAGTCCTCGAGAAGTTGAATACGATTTTTGCAAGTATCGTTTAAGTTTTTCCAGCGACTCGTAACACTTTGAATGTCATCGTGTAATCTATCAGCCCCAAGAGAAGTAGGTTTCTTTTTCAATAAATCATTTATTCCAGATTTAGTACTATCTAACAAGGATTGTTTTTCATACATTTCTTCAAGAACAGCCCTAACTTGTTTTGCTGCTTTATCTGACTCTTCTTTGGTCAATGGAATACTTTCCTTGGGTAACAATTTTTGTGTTCTATCTAAAAATTGGTTTAATATTTTCATATTTTCCACCAATTTTCTAACATCATCTCTTATAGAGTCCAATTCATTTTGCCTGTCTGATATTTTCACACCTAATAAGTTATATCTATTGTTGATTTCATTTAATTCTTGTTGTACAGGGCTATCATCCATATTATCTTCAATCCTGTTATAAGAGAAACTCACCACAGAACTCCTTGGGGAATCTCTAGAAGTTTTTCTTAAAGAGTCCAATGAATAGCGTTTAGTAGGAGAAACCGAACTACGTCTCCTTAAGGAATTTGTCACGTTAGAATCATAAAATGAAGTTCCAAGATCGTTTAGTCTATCAATAGTAATACTATAATCACGATGATCTTTAGCGATTGGCTTCAACTCGTCAATTTGATTTTTAATAATATTTATATCTACAGCAACACTTTCAAGTTGATTAACTCGTTTCTCAGTATTATTTAACCATACTAATACTTGATCCCTGAGTTTTTCATAAGCTTGCAATTGTTCCACTTTAGCTTTGGATAATCTTTGTTTTTCTTCTAACAGTTGGTTCAAATTTTTCCATTGATTTTCCAATCCTTTAACTCTATCACGTACGGGAGGAGTATCAGTTACATCTTTATTATTAATTAGAGTTTTTCCATCTCGTATTGTTTGGTCTAATGCTTGACGTTGAGAGTCTCTTTGAGCAATTAAATCATCCAATTTGCTTTCTGGCATATCATTGAAATTTTCCAATGCGTTAACCAACCATTGTTCTAGCATTGCTGCTTGACTATTAAATGAAGACAATGTTTGGTTGATATCATTTAATAGCTCACCTCGTTTAGCAGTTCTACCCAAAAGCTTCTCAAACCGTGTCATAACATCCTTCAACTTAACTTCAATTTTTTTGGCAAGCCTAGGATTGCTTGAATTAATCATTAATTCCTGTGTAGAATGAGCAACGCTGTCAACACTTGCTCTATGTGTATCAATATCTGACTGCAACAATCTGTACTCCCGGATCTGTTCTGCTAGACGTTCAGTATGCAAACTAACTGGTCTGGTTATATTCCTAAAAAAATATTTAATGTTAGTCAATTTTATTAAAAACCTAGTTATTTTCACCGATATTTATTAACTATAGTTAATTAAACATTTAAATAATACACATTTATTAAATATTAAATTTACTTTATTCATTTTTTATGTATACAACAAATCTGACCATAGAAGAAAAAAATTAAGAATTATACAACTGTTTGCAAGACCGTGTATAGAAATTTTTTTTAGGAGGAGTCCAAAACATGTATATTGTAATTTTATTGAATTAAGATTTTAACTTTTGATATTTGGTTAAAAATAAGACAGAAAAAAATTTAATCTTCTTTTATTAAAATTAATATCATATTTTCATATGATATGAAATAAAATTAAAAGCAGTCAATGATTAATTGGAGCTTAAGACATTTTTGATTGAAAATACTTATGTTGGTATTAAAAATAAATAAGTATTTTAAACATTTGTAAAATATTGAAAAAATTTCAGGAGGGTCTAGACACCCTGGACTCCCCTACAGATACGGCATTACTATATGATAATAAATGGATTAAAAAATTAATAAAAATATTGATTAAATAGGCCAATAGTTAACTAATAAGAAAAAAATACTCACTTTAATGTAGCTTCAGCATCATTCAGCCAATGTAGTAATGAATCCAATGCATCCTGTACACCATGTGATTGAACTAATGCTGTGTCTAAATGAGATAGTCGGTCAGCTAAACCATTACATAAAGACCTATATTTATCTTCCAATTCATTAACTGGTCCTTGTATGGCTTCTACTTCTTTCATGCCACTTTGTCCTTCAAGGGACCTGATTAAAGCATCTGCGGCTTGTTTTACATTCTCAATAAGTCTTGCTTGTCCTAAAAATTCATTATTCAAAGTTTTTGTCCGATTGAGTTGATCTTCAAGAGCATTTGGATCGGCACCGATTGGCTCATTAAGAATTTTAATAGCTCTAGGTTCAGCTTCTCTAAGCCAAGCTTTAACAGCATTCAATGCATCCTTATATTCTCTTTGTTTAGAATTAAGGCCACTTAATTTATCAGACAAAGCATTAGCTCGTGCTAATAAATCTTTATAATTTTGAGTGACATTTGTAACTGTATGTTTAATAACACTATCTTGGGATGACACTGGTTCAATATGATGAAGTCGCGATGGTAATCCAGTTCTAAAATCATTCAAGCAAGTTAGATATTCTTTAGACTCATCTATGAATTTTTGTGCTGCCATTGTAATAAAACGGAGGTCTGCTTGATGAGCAATAACATCAGACACAAACTCCCTGGTCGATTCAGTAGATGAAGTATCAGCCAATCTGTTTATATTGGCTAAAGCACGTTCTTTTTCATCGAGAGTACGTTGAGCTCTATCCATCCATGTAGTGAAAGTTGTAAGTTCAGATTTAAATTTAGATAATTCATCTTTAGCAGATGTCAAACGACGTAGCAATTTGTCAGAACGATCATTTGCATGATCGTAACGAGACTTTAAAGACTTAGCTTTTTTTTCAACATTATTTATTTCTTCTCTAGATAAGTATTCACTACCTGTAGCAATTACATGACGAACTTGATCCAAACATGTTGTAATAGGACGTAATTGGGAATCTATTTCTTCTTTAATTAGCTATAAAACATATACATGTATACATAGATTAAATATTAAATAAACATTTAGATATAATGTGATTTAATATTTTAATTTAACTAACTTTTAAAATGTTTATTTGATTACGTAGTTGATCCAAATCTTCTTGAGCTATATCTTGATTGGCAATTCTATCTTCTATTTCTCCAATCCAATTTAAGTATTCTGTTAGTGTGTCATCACACAATTTGTATTTTTCAGCCATGGCTTGCTATAAAAGAAAATATAATTGATAACACATACAAAAAGTTAAAATAGAAATAAATATTAGTGTAATTAAATTTAGCATACTAATGATTATATATATTATTTAATGCATACAAATTAAAAGCTGATTAAATTTAAAAACTAATTTTAGTTTTTTATATGTTGTTTCACTTATAAATATGTATAACTGTTAAAATAAGCCTTTACAAAAGACATCATACAAAACTCATTATAATAAAATTACAAAAATAAATTTGTTAGGTATATTATTTAGGCAAAAAACAATCAGTATAGCTTTTTAAAATGTAACTTGGCTGTCTAATCTCCTGAAAAATAAAATACAAACACAAAAGCTATCAAAAATATAATTGTACAAGCTAAACTCATCAAAACAATCAATTAAAAAAAATTTCTTCAACACTGATACAATTTTAAAACACAATACACCATGCATGGCATAAAATAATATCATCATTTAAGTTACCAAGGTCATTCCAGTGGCGCTTGGTTCTAGTAGAGATAAAGGCAAAATAGGTACATTTGGTACACTTTTATTTTCATGTTGTGTAACATCATCTAATTCTTCTTCTGTTATAGATTCCTGTACTATAAACTGAGGTCGTAAACTATTAGACCATTCAACTTTACGCTTGCCACTTTTAACTTCAACAATGTCAACAGATGAAATATCACGTTCAGTCAACAATGGATCACATACAACATTTTTTTCTATAGCTTCTTTCATTGTGCATCCTTGATAATGGCCAGTGGCATCTAAAATATTTTTCTTCAATGCTTGTTTCAATGATAATACCCTTGGTTTATTGGGATCCACAACCACAGCAGAATCTGAGTTTATAATGCCCATATTAATGCACTCCTTGAATGAAACTAATCTGTTAATACCTGGTATAATAGAAAAACCTGATACTGGATCTAACAAATTTTGATTAATTGCATCAGACAAACTCCAACCTTCTGGTGGTAAATCATTTTTAGAATCTTCTTTAACATTTAAAGCATCTAATGTTTTAACCAATACAGCTTTTAAAACATTTTTTGATTTGAGGCCATTTAATTTTGATAGAAGTTGTATTTCATCTTCAGCCAAATTTATTTTATCTAAGTTTCCTTGATGAATTACATCAAGAACAGTAATTTCTTTTTCATTAAATGTGATTTTTTTGTTTAACACTTGAAACACCTCACCCCTAATCTCACTTGAATTAAAAGTTTCACTAAAATCAGCAATATGGTCCTCATTTTTTACCTTTATCCTTTCCACTGGTCCTCGTTCAGCATCCAATAGCTCCTTTTGAATAGCTTCCAGCAAAGTAATTTCTGGTCCATTATCACCAACAACACAAGGTCCCAAAAGTTTATCAGCTAAAACTTTGTCCACTAATCCTTTTTCAACAGCCTGTTCAATAGTTACCCAACCAGACTTAGAATCTGGCTGAGTGGCAATGCGACCAGTACGTACATCTAATACACGTAATCGAATTGCTTCGCCTACTGTTAAAATTTTGCCAGTCATAGGATGCACAATTCCTGGAGCATTAATAATATCATCATCCATTCCAGTTGCTTCTTCCATACGTCGACGGAGTGAACGAATATCTGCATCACCATTAAAATCAACAACCTGTGAAGAATGATGACTACCCATTGCAGACGATTGATTACTTATATTTTTCACAGTAATAGTTTCATCTATACCATTAGAAGAAATTCTAAAAATAACAAAAATAACAAAACATTACATTATGAACACAACACCAACAGACTAATAAAGTAATAAAACTAAACTGTTAAACACTCACTCAGGAATTGTATCATATATATTGAATTCAGTTCTGAATGTACGTAATGGCCTAGCCTCTAATGTCTTCACATATTCCTGCAACATTTATTCAGACTAATCATTTCTAATAGATAAATTAATAGGTTCAATATCCAACCTAGAGTTTTATCAAGTAATAATATGTCGCTTAATAACTTCAAGGGTACAATACTTTATGGTTTTTAATTATTTGTGGTAAAAAATATAAGTGTATAATAATTGACTAGAGGTGTGTCATCTATGTAGGTGTAATCAACTATATCCGACAAAATGTTTGTAGATTTGAAATAGTAAAAATTTATAAAATAAATTAAAAAATATTTATTTATCAATGTTAGGCATTTAAACTGAGGTATCATTGATAATATCAATAAAGATATGGTTTTGTTTTTGAAGTACTACAAGATATATGTTTATACACATGAAAATTAAAAAGTATTTTTACTAAACATATACTAAATTAATTTTTATTATAATATATTAAATAAGAGGTAGTTGTTTATTTATTAAAACTCATATCATATTCGGTGAAAAATTCTAACAAATTTGAGATAGATACATAATTTATCATATAGGGTCACAAATGTAATATAAAATGTTATTTATATTAAATTAATAGTAAAATAAGATTATAATTATAAATAAGTAAAATCACATTTGTATTATTTTAACTAATTTGTAATAATTAATTAAGAGCATATATCTCCTCAAATTATTTGATACAATAGTAAAATGTTCTATAGACAAAAATTCATTAAAAGCTGATTGTATCTATAGTTCATCTATTTATAGATATTGGCTAAAACAAATAGTTAACGAATAAGGTATTTTATGTAATTATATTCATATATGTTATGATCATAGACAACCTTTATTAGGGTAGTGCAGATTTACGATAACATCACAGAGACACTAGTTTCTATGAATAAATAAATAATATAAGGTTTGCAATACGCATGTGTACTTCTTTGATTTTAAATACTGTTATTTAATTTTAAAGAGATAAAAGTTTAGCTAAGACTTAGGAATAAATGTGTAATTATCAATATTATATTACTGGTATAAACTGTTTTACTGCATTTATTATAATTTTGAATACATTCTTTGCCATAATTACCCATAATTTAAAATGTAATAAAAAATGTATTTATTATTTAAGCGTTACAACAATATTTTTTATCAAATTTTAAGTATAAAAGTTCAGTTAACTATAAAAGAATTTTAAAGAACTTCTATTTAAATCATCATAAATCATATTAAAAGATAAACCTATCTTTCAAATAATTTATCTTTATTTGAACTACAATCACATTTAAGATAAATTAGAAAATTAAAAACAAAAATGTATGTTTATTAAAAGGTATTTCAAATTGTTTTATTATTTTAAGAAATACTCGCTAAATGTAAATAATCTAAACTTTTTTTAAACTTATTATTTTAAACTAATTTTTTTAAACCATATAAAAAAATGTTAATGCAATTATATGGGTCTTACAAATCTTGTAAATCTTACAAACCTGTAATTCAAGATCATCAATGTTGACTGATGCTAGATTTTTCAACTGATCAATTAACATGTTCAGGAGTGCTTGAAATCTATGATTGAGTACATCAAGTTCATGAGACACGGCCAATTCACCAACACTCGGATCCATGTTTTGACCTTTATGATGAGTGCTTGCATCAAGGCTTGGATGAACTTCATCTACCAGCCATGCGCAGTAATGTTGAAGTCGTAGGTCATATATCTATGTGCGGGTTAATTATACGCATAGTCTTTGTTATGGTCTGTTAAATTGTTAACACGGCAAATTTTTGATTTTTTTTTTATGTTAAAAAGCGTCGTTACCTTAGCTTCTCGTATAAATCTGCCACCGTCGACATTGACATTCTCAATTGCTTTAGTACGTTCCTGCACCTTGTTATATAAAGCCTACGAGATTTATTTGTATCAATAAATGTAAAACCTTTGTTCTGGCCTTAAGGCTTTGCTCAAATAATTATATTCTGACAAACTCTTGTCATATTAACAATTGATATTAAATGATTAAGTTTTGTTTATTCTACATGCAATGCTATGGTTGAGTTTAAGTAATACACAATACTCACTATAAATTACATTTTATAATGTATACCAGCTTTCTAGTCTTATAATATAACCCTTACCTTTGTAGTTTCAGTTAGATCTCTTGCTTGCATTTTAAGGGGTGCTACATTATTCAATTTAACATAACTTTCATCAATGATTTGAACTTCAGACTGATACGAATTTTTGTACTTATTCAAAAGATCATAAGCTGCTTCACAGCTCTTAAGCCTGTGAAAATAAAAATAATATGCCAAATGAATAAAGAAAAATATGATAAACACTAATTAAAATTAACTTAAATAAAATCATTTTCTCAATAGCTTGTACATTTTTACATTTATACCTATCTTGGTAAAAATAAAATTAATTAATTAATATTAAATAACCAAAAAATAATTATATTATACCTGTCGACTAATTGACTACAAACATTATTCCATCTACTTGTAATACGATTTACATCACTATCAAGTCTATCTAAATCATGATGAGCACTACGTGGTAGGTGGTGTCTTGATTTTTCTGTTAACCGTCTGGTGTTATGTTTATCTTCAACTAACTGGTCAATAACTGGCTGTTGAAGAAGTACATTTTTTTGCAAAGCAATAAGATCTTGATGCACCTAAATATTAACACTTAATCATTAAAACCTCTATGAACTTAAAGTACAATATATGTCAAATTTACAAACCAATTTTAAAGCAGGTAATTCTGATGGCATTTCACCATAAGATGCCAATTTTATTTCAAAATCTGATATTACATTGTTTGCTTCATCTAATCCAGATAAAGTAATTTCAGCACACTTTAATCTTTCAACATATAACTGAGATAAATTCCATAATTGATTCCATTGGTTCAAAACCTTATCATGTTTAGCCTGTAAAGCCGGTGTTTTATTCGGTATGTTTTTAAATGTAGCTTGCATGGCTTCAACATCAGGACCTAAATTCTATAACATAAACATTACTGATTTTTTTTATCATAATCTAACAAGTAATTTATTTATTTATTTATTTATTTGATGTAAATACCCAAAGGGCTCAAGTACAGTGACAATAAAATATATAATAAACATTGTTAAATAAGGATACAAGTATGTTACAATATTAATTAAGTAAATAATATTAAATTAAATTTACAAAAAAGAAAGGTGATTTTAATGATATGCATTAGGCTACTAAAAACAGTGTTTTAAGGAATACAAATCATTCTTAATAAACAAATCAAATTTTAATTTATTGTACTCTCTGGCTATTCAATCAATATGGTTACTAAAGCCGTAAGATGTTCGATGAAAAGGAACTTCAAATGTGGGACAAGAACGTGAAAAAAATCTACGAACATGAAGGTTTATGGATTGTAATAGATCTGGAGAGGATATAACACCATTTACTAATTTAGATAGAAAGCAGACGTCTGCATATTTCCGTCTATCAGCAAGGGAATCCAAGCTAAAGGATGCCTGTATAGAACTAATGGATATTGACTCGGATGGGTTATTAGTGGAATTCATACGTAATATATTTAATAATACACTACCTTAAGCGATGTTTCAAAGTCTTTATGTTGGATAACTAAATGTTCAAGAGAATCCATGTCTCTTGGTATGGGAGCACTTAATCTAGTATTCAATGTATGTTCATATTCATCCAACGAAATTTGAATAGACTTAATTTGTTCGGTAAACATTCGTGTTAAATTTTTACTGTCTTCTTCAGCTTTTGATCGTCGTTCAAACTCATCAAATAATCGATTAACTTCATCCATTTCTCTTTTGAGTCTTCTAAGTTGTGGATCAGCTGGATCACCTTCACGTAACAACTTATTAGCATCTTCATTCAATGCCTTACGAATAGCATTACGTTGATCAGCACCCATGGCTAAAAACTATAAAAAAAAAAAAGAAAGAAACATGCATTAAAAACAAAAGTATAAATAATTATTTACTTTTATAATATTACTTGAGCCAAGTCCCATCCTTTCACAACTTTAATAGTAGCAAATATCATATTTTGACGCATACGCAACTGTTTGCGTTGCCATAATGCTGTTGAGCGATCATATGCTCTACGTAAACGATCAACAGAATCTAAAGCTTCTTGATCTGGAGGGGGTATTAAAAATACTACTCCAGGAACATTTGAATCATCGGTCAGATTCATTCCTCTGGAAACTCTCCATTTAACTCGCCCAGAATTGTCATGAAGCAACCATTGAGATCCTTTTTCGACATTAATCTAAACAAGATAAACACATAATAAAAATCTTTTTTTCAACCATTATTTTCAAAACATACTCCATTTTGTTTGAAATTACAAATAGCATTCACGGGAATAGGTCTTGTAACTGGAAGTCTACGCTGCTTGAGTGGAACTACTTGTCTTGATCGTTCTTCAAGTGTACCAATTACTTCACTGAAATTATTTAATTCTTCACGAAGGTCTTGCATGCCTTTCAATAAACGTTCTCCATCATCTAAGCTAAATTCTGATTGACTGTATACAGAATTTAACAATTCATCTCGCTTATTTAACCAATGTTCAGCTTCTTTGATGTCAGCATAGAATTGATGGTAGTAAGTGGCATGCTTCAGATGAGTTTCCAAGCACAGAGTTAACTGAAGTAGCCAGGTCCATTGTGTTTGTAATGCCGATATATAAGCTTCAATACATTTTGATGCTAGATGGCCCTGAAGAATTAAAGCTTCTCCACGATCTTGAACTGAGCTTAATTGAATTTCTCTTTTTTCAAGTTCTGACATCAATGACTGCAATTATAAATGTTACATACTATAATATTGATATTGAATTTACTTTTATCATAAAACCAACCTCAATCCCTGATCCATAGGCATGCTTAAAAAATTAGTTTATATAGTTATAAAAATGATTTTAATTTTACAGCCCTTAAATCACGACTTAAAATATACTACAAAATAAATTTAAATTACCTCATAGTATTGTCGAATAGATGGAATATTTAAATCCTTATCACTCCAATCACGATTTAATTCAATTTCTTCCTTTTCATTGAGCCAAATAAGCTGATTAGTGGCTGATTGCAAGAAGTCTTGCAATGTTTCTAGATCAGATAGCCGTTTATTAGAGAAAGTAACTAATTCAGCATAAACCTTCTGCAATGTATTCAAGTGCTGTGAATAGAGAGATAATTCATCCCCATGGAAATTACTCTTAGCGTTTATACAGTGTTCAACTTTAGTGTGAAATTGGTCAATTATTTTATGTTCACGCTGATGTTTGTCCAAAAGCCCTTGGACACTAGGCAAATCTGAACCATATTCAGCTTCTTGTAATTGTTTCTACAAACATAAAAACACATAAATTTAGTCAGGTAATAAAAATGGAATTACCAAAATAATCCTTACCAATTTGTTATTACACCAATCAATACATTCTTGTAATGAACGGAAATGTGTGTTAGTATCAACAAGCCGAGTTTCCAAAATAGTTCGAGTTTGTTTGGTAACTGTACGCTCTTCAACAATTGGAAATGACAGAGTAGCCAAAGGAGTAAGAACTTTAGAATGTAATAAAGAACGCAAATTCACCCATCTTTGATGCAGTTTTTCCACCCTTAATAAAATAAAATTAATATTTTGTAAAGCTACAAGTATTTTATAGTATTTACCTTTTTTGTAACTCTGGTGCTTGCACATATCGACCTTCTCTAAGTGCTTGAACATCAACAAACAATGACTGAATAGTATCTTCTGATAAACGTAGCTCTGTCTCCAGCTGATCTGCATTATGTTTTGCATCTAATGGATGTAATCTATCAGCTCGGCGACCTTCTTCAACAATTCTAGTTTCCAACTCATCCAATTTAAGATCAGTACGCTTGGTTTCACGATGAACTTTTTCAGCTAATCTTTGTAAACGTTCTAGACGTTTAATTTCTTCTTGAATGGCTGAGTCTCGATCTTGGTATGACATCATTAAACGATTCCAGGTGCGGTCAATAGCATCTGCTTGTAATTCAGGTTCAATATCATTTTCACCGACAGTATCAAAATATTTCTAAACATAAAATAAACATAAATAGCTTTTCTATGAGCAAAAGATCTTAATTTCTTACCTGAAGTTCTTTGTACAAATGTACAAGATGTTGTTTATCCCGATGACGGGGTGGTAGTTCTTCATTACGGAATCTAGTAGAATCGGAAGCTAATTTTTTCATTTCAATAAGTGTTGATGGGAAATTACGATCAGACATCAAAGATAATTTTTCGCGCATCCAACGATTCAATGATGAGGCAATTTCGCGATATTCTCCAGAACGTTGTTGAGATTCCTACGAAAATATAAGAATAAAATAAGTTCTTGAAATGAAAAATATTAACCAAAAATGTTTACTAACAGAATCATAAAGGGGGTGTAAGCGTGGAGGTTCTGGGAATACTTCATGTAATGACGAAATATAAGTAATAATTGATTTTTCATCAATTTCGTGAGTGTCGACATCTAAAAAATAGATTTACAAACTGTAAGTAAAATATACTTAAACAATTTATAATGAACAACACTTGCCTTCAGGATCTAATAATCTAGTGACTCCATATTCTCGTTCTGCGATATAGAACGCAGATTCTAATCGTTCACGAACATTTTTATTTTTAACATTACGCCAATCAACTAAATCAGGTCTGTAAAAAATTTAAATTTATTGATAGATATAATTTGTGTAACTATAATTTTTTTTT